TACCAATCATACTCCTGTATAGAGTTTGATCAACAGATGTACCTTCATCATCTTTGGACACTTTTACATGAGTGCCCATGAGAGTTTGAGGACTTTTAGCATTTTCAAGACCAAACTTTTTAACAAGGTTTTTTTGCATATTTACCCTGATGCAAGAAAATACCATCTTTACCTTGCTTTACCTGAAGTCCAAGGAAGTATGAAAGTTCACCTACGAGACTCATCTCGAATTCAGACGACATAAGTTTAACAAAGTGATTGACCAACTTCTTGGATGTTGATCCAAAGATGATGTCGTCGACGTAGATTTGAACAGCCAGTAGGTCCTCATTTGTTCGAAGAGCAAAGGATGTCTGATCTATTCCTCCTCTCCTGAATCCCTTTTCCAGAAGGTACATGGTAAGGCGTTCATACCACGCACGTGGCGCTTGCTTCAATCTGCACAATGCTTTCTTAAGTCTGTAGACATGATTCGGATTCTTGGGATCTTTGAATCCTTCTAGCTGCTTAATGTATGCCTCTTCATGTAATATCTCGTTTAGAAAGGCAAACTTCACGTCCATCTGGTAAACAATGAACTTCATTAGACAAACAATAGATAAATATGCGTACAAATTCAAGTCTAGCAACTGGGGCAAAGGTTTCATGGAAATCAATCCCTTGAGTCTGAGTGTAGCCTTGAGCAACTAGTCTCGCCTTGTTACGTGTCACATTCCCGAACTCATCAGTTTTATTCTTGAAGATCCACTTTGTTCCGATAACATTTCCCGATGAAGGTTCAGGGACTAACTCCCAGACATCGTTTCTAGTGAATTGCTCCAGTTCCTCCTGCATGGCTAAGATCTAACACTCATCTTTCAGAGCTTCTTTAGCATTCTTGGGTTCAGTCAAAGAGGTGTAGCATGCATAATGAGAAACACCCATAAGTTCTTTGACTGACGTCTTCGAGTTTCTGGTTACTCTCTCGTTGATGTCACCAATGACATTCTCGGATGGATGATCTTTCTGAACCCTTAAGGGAGGATCACGCCTAGGTAGCACTGAACCTTATTGAGTTGCAGAGACAATGTAGTCAGTTGACGGTTCAGCATCCCCAACCGAAAGTTCAGCCGTCTCCTTGTCAGCAGAACTCTTAACATCATGAGTATCCTGCAATGTCTCAACATTTCCAAACTGATTAAAATACACAGATGAACCAACTTGGGAATTTTTTTCATCAAAGATTACGTTCATGGCCTCAATTACAGTGGAGGTACTTGTGTTGTAAACACTGTACGCTCGACTATTGTTAGAGTAACCAATAAAGGATCCAATATCTAATTTTGCATCGAACTTCCCAAGTTGTACACGATCATTATAGATAAAACATTTACACCCAAAAATATGCAAGTGACTGAGGTTAGGACTCTTACCTTTCCAGAGTTCATACGAAGTCATACCAATACCTTGACGAAGGTACACTCGATTCACGAGGTAGCATGCTGTATTGACTGCCTCAGCCCACCATCTAAAAGAATTTTTTTTGGAGTTTAACATGACTCTGGCCATTTCATGTAGAGTATGATTCTTCCTTTCAACCACTCCATTTTGCTGTGGAGTTTTAGGAGCTGAGAACTCGTGACAAATACCCAGAGAATCACAAAATTCCGCAAACTCAGAATTTTCAAACTCTCTTCCATGATCACTTTGAATACTTATTGTAACGCCCCACTTTTATTTGACGAAAGTCAAGGACTTTCCAAAAAGTCAACTTAAAATTTTTCAAAATCTTTTCATAAATTTGTGGCGCTACTTAACTTAAATCACATAAATAACATAGTTCATACTCGCATAAATCATAAATTATAATCCAATGTTTTCATAAATCTCAAGTCCATCCAAATTATTCATAAGGGAACATCTCCCAAACCAAAGTTCTCAAAAATCTCAAATTCATAAATCAGAAATACCAAAGTTCCCAAGTCATAATTAAGCATAAATAAATCCATGTCTACTAGCATGCAGAATAAACTAAATGAGGTCAGTCAAGACCAACACCACTCGTGTTTTGTCTCGTCAGCCAACACCTGCTTAACCTGCATCCATGAAGAGCAGGTGGGAGTGAGCACGGTGCACTGTAGTGCTCACTACTATGCACATGAACAATAATATTATACGAGAAATTAAATGGCATGGTCGCAGTATGTATACGAATTATTCATTTATCCCAATTTTTCCATCACATATATGATCAAACAAGACTCATGTGCACACCTATAGCAATAGTCTACTGCTAGTAGACGTATCGAATGCCCCATGGGCTTTTATCGAATGCTCCTCGGGCTTATACGTCTAATGCCCCTCGGGTTTCTACACCGAATGCCCCTCGGGCTTCTATCGATGCCAGCAGTAGGAGTAAACCCCACGGGTTTTGCTTTACAGTTACGAGGATAACCGTTCGACGGACGAAGCAACTCACATCGAAGGCTACATATTTCACATACATACAATGATCATACCACACGTAAGGCAATAATTTATTGCATAGTATTTTAAATAAAACCCACATAAATAAAACATTTATCATTCATGGCATAGACAATTTAAATAAGACCCACCTGGATACCGAGATATAGCCAAACACAGGGTTGAAGGAATAATGGCAAAAGTTCAGCTCGATGAACCTTCAACAATTATAATATCTTATCAACTGACTATCCAATACAAGACAACACACAAAGCAATATACTTAGCCAAAATCATATCGACTAAGTGACTCGTGGATTCCTTGACCGAGTTAGGTACAATGGAGTAACTACTAGACCTGAACACAACTCAAAATACCTCATGTTATACACATAAATCATGCCAACATCAATGAAATCCAACTCGAACCTAAACAACGGATAACCGAGCATTAAGACTCCAAAATAAACAAAATTTAGAATCCGAAGTTAGACTCAATAAATCAACCTGAAACTTTACCACATCTCAAGGCATACAAAAACACATAATCTCACCATGTTTCAGCCCTAAATTTATTCGGGAGAATTTTTAAATAATTAAAGCAAAAACAGTGCCAAAATCTAACGTTTAATAGTTCATATAGCTACACTTCGAATTTTAAACCAATATTTTGGCACAATACATAATACCACAAAATAACATACTACTAAAAGTTTCAACTCAAAAATACAAGTGTACGATTTTTAATGAATTTTACAAAATTCAGACCAGAAACCGATTTAATTAATTAAAATAGCTACAGATGGAGTTTAGACTTGAAAATTTTACACGACTTACAAAACCATCATAGAAGATAACATATAAAGGTTCACGGCATTCAGACAATCACACTATTTATCATGAATTAATTACGATTCAGCAGAATACTCGGTTTAGAAAATTCATAACTCGACATATACACATTGAAAGGACCCCAAACCAAAACCAATAAATCAAGGACAACTCCATGTACCTATAATTCTAGGATTTCCAAGAAAATTACCACTCAAAGCTCAGTTCGATAATAAACCAAAGTGACGACAATAACTTTGATATCCAAAACGCATATAAATTCAATATACGACACAATAACATATCCAAAGCACGTAATTGACTCGTAATTCATACATTCAACAATATAGCACGCAATATGTCACAATAACACAAACCATGACATCAAACGAGATGGTGTTCTAGCCTAGGTATCGTTCTCGGGATGGGGTCACACGAACGGATCAAAACGGGGCTGAAAAGGCTATACGTGCGCTACGACGGGACTCGACGGCTACACTCGGAATTCGACGGGACTCGACGGAATTGATCGCTAGATGCCGAAAAATTTGCTCGCGGGGCTCGTGAACGGACAACAGATGGTGGTCACGATGGTGCACGTTGGTCGGGGTTCGCAGCGGGAGTTGCAGCGATCACGACGGACGCGTCGGGGACCTGCGGTTTGCATGTGGTTTGTTTCTTCGCAGGGATGCTGTTCACGGCAAGGATCGCTTCTCGCTGGACTGCTTGCGGGGGAGGAGAATGGTGGTGGTGACCGCCAGCCTATTGCTCCCGATGCTGGTGATCGGTGATGATGATGATGTTGATGGTGATGGCGCCGGCGGTGCTGCAGATGTTTCAGGGGTGGCCGACGATTGAATGATGGTGCTGCTCGCGGTGGTCCTGGGAGATGGTGAAGCCGCTGCGATGAGAGAGATAAGTTGATGATGGTCGACTGGAACGAGAGAAAAAAAGGGCAGGTTTTGGATCGGATGATTTCTTTTTCTTTTTTTTTTTCTTTTTTTTTTAATTCCTACTGCGATCACGATAGGAGAGGGAGAGAGACGATGGGTTTTGAGGTTTATCTCCTCTATTGCAGAACGTATGAGGGTGATGATGATCGAAAGAAATTTTCTTCTCTTTTCTGATTGGGATCGCGACAGAGAGCGGAGAGATTGAAAAATATCCTATTTCTCTTGTTGGTCGCGTAAAGGGAGAGAGATATGTGATAGCTGCGGGATGAATATTCAGATGAGGGGAAAATAATCTCACGATTATATAGTCTCGAGCTTAGGGTTCTCATGTCAATCTTGCTATCCAAGTAATAAAAAGGAAGAGATGTGACCGGGTCGGGCTCACGGCGGGCGTGGGTTCACCGGCTTCGGGCGCGGTTTAATTCCTCGGTTCAATATTACGATAATACTCGAGATCGGTTCAACGCGACAACGTTTAAAAAAAAAACCGGACACACATATACATATATATATCACCTAATAATTAATTTATATTTATATAATTCACACAACAATATTTATTTAATAATAATAGGCATTTAAACAATTAGACATTTAATATTAATAATAATAACAATAATAATAATATTAATAGCAATTAGGCATTTAATAATAACAATAATAATAATATTAATGAATTAAATAAATAAACAAATAATCTCAAATATTTCACAAATAAACGGGGCATTACACTTATTATGGGAAAGCCTTTCTTAGTTGGAACCTTCAAACAAAGTGACTTAAAGGTAGAGAATGTGTCAGACTTTTCACGCAAAAATCAACACAAGTATATCGAGAGAAATCATCAACGCACACAAAAATATATTTTTTACCTTGATAGCTTTCTACCTGAATGGGACTCATGAGATCCATGTGAAGAAGCTCTAGGATCTGTTTAGAAGCAATGTGGTTCAGTGACTTGTGGGATGTCCTCGTTTGCTTACCTAGTTGGCAAGGTTCGCAAATTGGCTGGTCCTTCATAGCAATCTTTGGAACACCCCTGACTACACGTGCATTGGTCAATTTGACAAGGTGAGAGTATCCAATATGCCCTAAGCGTTGATGCCAGATTTCAGGTTCGCTCACATTTGAGAAAAGGCATTTTTCATTAAAATCAACAAGATAACAGTTATCCATTGAACGAGAACCTGTAAGTACACAAGAACCTTCACTGTCTTTCACATAGCACTTATCACATGAGAAACTGACACTAAGGCCTTCATCACAGAGTTGACTCACACTCAAAAGATTTGCCTTTAGTTCATCAACAAGTAACACATCAGTTAATTTAGGTAACCCACCCAAATTTAAACAGCATGTTCCAATAACCTTATTGCTAACACCGTCACCGAACGTGACTTCCCCATTTGAACCGGACTGAATGTTCATCAAGTAGGAAGGTTCCCCAGTCATGTGTCTAGAGCAGCCGTTGTCCTGATACCATTTACCATTTAAGGAAGTCCTGAGAGACAGAACAAAGGCAAAACAGTTGAAGGATTTTTTAGCAACCCACACTTGATGAGTTTTGGCACGGTTATTTGGGAGGGTTCTGGCATGAACCTTCACCAGAATGCCAGACTGATTCCAACCCCTAACATTACCTGTACAAAGATCATGCTGCATTTTATAACATTTGGGTCGTATGTGACCAGTTACACCACAGTAATGACAAATAGGAACAAAGTTATGGTAAGTTTTACTAACAGATTTCTGCATAGGAGAATGAACCTTCAAAGGAGATTTTGGAGATAGAGGCTTACTTATGGTAAGTTTCTGGAAGGTTTCCCATGTAGTTCCATACATCAAATTCTAAGTTTGTCCCCAAATCCAAGGCCATCATGTTTTGTATTTGAAGTCCTAGTTGAGGACTCTGGATTGTTCTCCTTGCCCGTGTATCCTATTCCAGTAAGATCACCATGTTGTTTCCCCAAGGAAAGAAGTTCATTCAGATCTTCTTTTCCCTTGTTCAGTTTTCGAACGACTTCTGCAGTTCGGTTCAACTCAGCAGAATTTGCCTTCAGTTTACTTTCCATGCAAGCAAGTTCGTTCATCAGCCGACCAACTTCAGTTTTCAGCAGCACGATTTCCTGGTTCCATTCCGCAAAAAGTTTCTGCGTAGAAAATAGTTTAGACCTCAAGCATTCAATGGTCTGAGCCTTTTCCAGTCCGCCTTGTTTAGCAAGTTTGACACTGCTCTCAAGGATGCTGGTTCGAGCCTTTGCAGTATCTAATTCACAATCTTTAGCAGCAGTGGAAGAGGATGCTTGTTCGTTCAATACCCTGTTTGCTCTTGAAAGTCTAAACATTTCATTTTGAAGCTTCTGTAGAGCATCAGACGCTTGAGCACACTTTTCCATAGCAAGTAAATGTACTGGATCTATACACACATTTGATTCGCTTCATCTTCAGATGCTTCAGTTTCTTTTAAACTTTCTTCAAACTTGGTCGGAGCATGAGAAGTGGTGAGACACATGAACTTCTTGACTGAGGTATGAATTGCCATGTTGCTAGTGTGCAAAGATGGTTCGTCTGTGCCTTCTTCATCTGAATCTTCCCACGTTGCCTTCAGAGACTTGTTTATCTTCTTAAGATTAGCACACTCATACTGGAAGTGTCCAAAGCTTCGACACTCCCTGCATTGATCCTTCTCAACTCGTTGTGAATCGGGTTTTGAGAGTGGCATACTACTTTTCTTGTCCTACACCACATTCTTGCTGAAATTGTTGCCCTTTTTCCAGCAAATTTGTTCTTGTACAGCCTTTGACTCATCTTCCCATAGTTTCGCGCGATTAGAGCTAGTGCTTTTTTCAGCTCACTATCGTCTGCCAACAGACCTTCATCATCATCGCTTTCTTCTCTTTCCTCGACTACAGAAGCTTTGAAAGTTAAGCCTTACTTTTGACTTTATCATAATTGTTGTTGATTTCAAACGTCCTGAGTTCTCCAAGAAGTTCATCAACATCCAACGACGCCACTCTTTGGAAACTTTCAAGAGCTGTGATTTTCTCTCTAAACCTGGGAACAACGGTTCTCATAATCTTTTGTACTTGACGCTTCTCAGAGATTTCTTCTCCAAGCATCATACTTTGATTCACCAGATCACATAATCTGGCATAGTATACATCAATTGTCTCTTCATCCCTCATTTTGATCTGATCGAATTCAAGAGTTACCCATTGAAGTCTGGATGCCTTGACAACCGTTGAACCTTTGAATTGACGCTGTAGAACCCTCCAAGCATCTTTCACAGTCTTGCAATGAACTATCATTTTGTGTCTTGTCTGATCTACTGCCATCATAATCGCATACAAGACACGATAGTTGGCTTCTTCTTGAAACTTCTCAGCATCTGTCCAGTTGTCCTTAGGTTTAGGAATCATGAATTTCGTTGTTTCTTTTCCTCGATCAGGTGCTTGTGGCATGACTGGATGCTCCTAGCTTTTTTCAACACTTTCCCACACACCTTTTCCAAGCGATCTTAGAAAAATTGTCATCATAGACTTTCAATACGAGTAGTTCGAACCGTCCAATTGAGGAGTCCTAGACATCGATCCACTTTCTTGATTCATGATTTGATAGTAACACACGTCCTTAGATCTTTCGTAATGAAGACGAAAACCTGCTCTGGTGCCAATTGAAATTTTATACTTGAACACCAAGTATCCAGAGTGGCACGTAAATAGAACAAACAGACAGTAATGAAGATTCAAAGAATTGCGGAAGCTGTTTTCACTAAAAATTGAACCTTCAGGAGAGCATCCCACTCTCCCTTCAGATCTCTTTCATTAATGTGAACAACTCATACATCATTCAAGGATTTACAGTATAGACTCCTTCTACACTCTTCTTGAATAATGATCCACACAACTACTTATCTGACCACAACTCCCTTGTGGATTTTCTACTTCGAATCCCTCTAACTAGATCAGAATGAACATTTGAACATTTTATTACAAAGAAAAACTGTGTTCTCAATATCTCTTTTTCACTCAAGGAAAGAAAACATAAAACACAAAAATTTCCAGCAGAAAAAGTCGTCCTCAACTCTGGTCTCGTCCTCCTTTTATCTTCAGCATCTTTTGGTAAGTCTTTACGCCCAAGACATATACACATAAGGAAGGTGGATCCCGTGATCTTCTTCCTCTTCGATTATGGAAAGAGAATCTTGCCTTCAATATTCTAGACCTGCCAAGATGTCAATACAAATAATTAGTGAATTTGACTTAAATGAAAACATGACTTATTTATACCAAAAATAAACTTTCCGTAAATACTCCCGCATATTTCTAGACTCTGTGATCATTAGAAGGTTCATCGATTTAGTGCCAATAACCAGAACTTACATCAACTGCTGAAATTCAAACTAAGCAAATTAAATAACAGAGCAACAACGAAGAACAAGCAATATTTAAGAAGCTAGGGAGTCGGGGATATCCATTTTGGTTCGAATGCAATTACCGTGCAAGTAATTTTTCGGTTAAGTGTGTTATCATCCGACTCGGCAAGACGTCGTTAAGAGATCTTGCGCATCTAATTAAACACGATTAACAGGTAAACCGACATGAATCATAACCACACCGGTCTGAACCACCGAAGACCGAAGTAATCGACGATTACCGAGGTCAACATCCACCGAGGGCAACACGAACCGAGGTCGTCACCTCCTTAAGCAGGTGACAAGGCATCTACGAGAAGCTCTCCTACACCACAAGATCTGTCATCATTTACGTGGGACCCTCTACCTCGAACCGCCCATAAAAAGCCACTTTATTCAAAAAGTAGTACGCGGATCCCGATGCCTCAACCCAAAACTACTATAAATAGTGGACTTATGACAATTGTAAGGAGATCTCTGGTTTTTTTTCAAATTACCGAACTGTAAACTCTTTACCGCGTAACACGTAAAAGCCCATCACGGCTCTTCACCTCGGTTCACCTCGGACCGGGGCCATTGCTGATGCAAACTTACATGCTTTACGTTCAAATCCTTCCACATTATACACTTAAATCACAAATTACACCGTTGTTAACAATCACATAACAACAAAGTGATTTGAATAACCTGCACGTTTAGATACTCATCCTCAATAACTCTTTGTAACAAGAGAACAAACTTGAAGGATAATATAACATATCATTCAACACCTAGGTAATACAATAACGAACAAGCCTAGCTTATACGAACCTATTTCGACCGACTCCTCCCATTTCGGTTCTAGGAGTCGATTAAGATAGGTTAGAGGGCGGTTAACTGACTAATGAAATAGAATCCCCAACATCATGCACGAATAAATAAAATTCAATTGAAAACAACTGGAAGTTGAAGTGCCACTCTTCAGCAATTCTTAATATTCAAGCTAAATAATTGAAAAACCCTTTTACAAGATCAACTCACATAAGAAGAACAATCAACGAACACCACAATCACAATCAAAATAAAAAATTAATCCCCTATCGCTAGCATATGGGTTTAGCCGATCATGATCGATTCAACACAAACAATCTCACAAATCAAGACCAACATATTCATGGATTTAAAGAATAGAAAGTCTTACGATTAAACCGAAATTGAGAGTTGAATTTGATAAACAAGATTAATCCCAAAAGTAACGATGAAATTCGAGTTTAAATCCGTGTTCTCCGATGAAAATTATGGAGACAAATATGAAAAAATGAGTAAAGAAGAGAGGGGTAGGGTTTTTCATTTCTGGGCGAGAAAAGATATCTCGGGTTGCGATCCCCGATGTAAAATGTGTAGGCGACCAGGTTTCCGCGCCGTACCAAGAGCCTCGCGGCGTTAAGAGTCTCCGTGCCGCGTCGTGAAGAGGTGGCGCGTCGTGAAGAAGTGCTGGTGCCGCCCGTGAAGGGAGTGGCGCGCCGTGAGGTGAGCTGGTGTCGCGCCGTGAAACCAAATATGTAAATACTCCCCCACACTTAAAACCGAACAATGCCCCCATTGTCGATCATCAATGCATGGAAATTTTACCCACATAATCAACCAACATAAAAACAAAGACACTAAAGCAAATACGAAAATAAAAAGGAAAGAAAGAAATACAGACGTAAAGAGCACAGTGACTAGACGAGTCATTGTTAATCCGGTGGTGCAGATGGAGGGTGGAGGTAGTCAGGCCCCGGACAGTGGCGGGCCTCTGTCAACTCAAATCTCTAGCCCCATTCGGATCGGGGCAGCTCCTTCGAATTCGACTGGGGAGGGGTAGTGTGGCGGTTGTTGTGGCATCCTTTGTCAACAAAAGCTCGGTCCTGCAATGACCTCTTTGCGTATTCTCTCATACACACTTCGTCAACAATATGCTCTATCGCCCGAATGGACATGCATTCTCCACCAAATGTTCCTGCGGTTAGGCTGGGTCTCTTGAATGGAAATGGCGATGGATTCGCCCAAGACCGTCATGTTTAACTTTTCACTCTTGACATCGATCATCGTGTTCGTGGTTGCCATGAACGGTCGTCCGAGGAGAATAGTATGTCCCTTGTCATTTTCTTGTACTTCTTCCACATCTAACACAATGAAGTCTACATGGACAATTAGCTTCCCATTTCGAATAAGTACATCTTCCAGAACACCCGCAGGATGAAAAAATGAGAGATTGGCTAGCTGCAGGTGCATCTGAGTAGGCTTCAAATCTCTCAGCCCAAGCTGACAATAAATCGAGAGGGGCATAAGATTTACGCCGGCTCCAAGGTCGAGCATCCCCGAGGCTTCTTTCTCAGTCCTGAAGGCTCTATTAATCACAAAGCCTCCAGGTTCTTTTTCTTTTCTTGGCAAGTCATGCTGAAAGAGACTTGCCGCCTTGCATACGAATACTTCATCGCTATTATCGAGTCGTTTATGCTTTATTCCAAATTATTTAAAAAATCTTGCATATCTCGGTATCTTTTTCATCACATCCACAGGCGGTGTAACGCCCCGTATTTTATTAATAAAGAAAAGTACTAGCTTTTAATTATAAGCTAGCCTTTGTTAATAAATATTCATGTTAATGTTCAAGTCTAAGTTATTCAGTCAGTTAAATTGCAAGTTCGACGTTAAGTCGAAAACATCTCCGGTTAATTTTATTTATTAACCAAGTCAATGATAGAAATAATCTCAATCCGTTTATTTAGTAAAGGGACATAAAAAAGTTGGGATTAAATATTTCAATGTTGATGTATTAATCAAATTTG